CCCCCCCGGCCTCCCGAAATGTAGAAACAGATTTATTAGGGTAGGGACAAACGGTGCAGATTCATGCCCCCTCCAGCACTTGCTGCAAAAAAGAAGACGTGCTATCCCAGGAGGGAGGGCTGTGTTGATGAGGGCAGGAGCCAGGACTCCTGGGTTCACCTCCTGTGAGCTTGAGCCAGTCCCATTTTTTGCCTCAGTTTCCCCATCTCTAAAAAAAAATAAAATAAAAGATAGCATCAGAGATGGCTTATTGGGCCAGACCAGTAAACCCAGCATCCAGCAAAGGCAAGTGTGCTTCTTTAATGGTTCTGAGCTCTGCGGGGTGTTCGAGGAAAACTTTATAAGTTCCTGTGGCGTGCACGATGTGCAAGAATTTGGAGAAGCCGGGTGCGACGGGCAGGATCCTTTCACTTTTTCCCCTGCTCAGGGTGTCCTGGGCCCCACCCGGACATTGCAGTAAAGACTGAAAAGGAGGACGAGCCGCCGCTCACGGATCACCTGGACTTTCCCGAAAGAGCAGTTTCCCAGGGCAACCTGACAGGTGAGTGAGAGAACGAGCAACCCCAGCAGGGCCCCTTGATCAGCTTTATTGACTACACTCGTTAACGATCACATGCAAATACTTGGAGCTGCTGGAAAAATACAGGTGCGTTCTTCATCACCGAGGATCCTGGTTCTCTTTGATTAAAAAAAACCCCAAACCCCAATTTTCAGATATAAAAAAAATAACGCAAAATCCACGTTTTTCCATGATTAAAATGAAACACCGCTATATATGCATATATAGATTAGATTAAAAAGAAACACCAATAAATATGCATATATAGATTAGATTAAAATGAAACCACTATATATGCATATATAGATTAGTGGTGTTCCAACTTAATCATAAAAAATGTGGATTTGGGGTTATTTTTTTTTATATCCAAAAATTGGGGATTTTTTTTTTTTTTTTAAATCACAGAAAACCAGGATCCCTGTTCATCACTGACATGGAATCTGTCTTTTTTGAACATTGCAATGTTTGAGGCATATCGGCCTCTCTTTAAAATCAGTTTAAAAAACCCAAGCTTTTAGGGTCTTGTTGTTTTGTTTTTTTTCTTTAACAAAAAATACAAAACAGAAAACATTTTAGAAATCAGCATCATTTTTAAGGAATGCTTTAGACACATTTTTCACATAAAAAATTCACCTAGCTCTTTAAGCAGCCTGGAACGAAGCAGGGACAAGTTTTTTTCCTTCAAGTGTTTTTAAGCAGGTTTCCAACTTGAAAATGCTTCTGGAGACGGGGAGGAAATCAGCTTCTCTGCAGGACCTTTTCATGAAGCTCCCGCCCAGATTTCGACAGGGTTGCCTAAAGAGGTGCTAGGGGCCGGGGGTCCTCTGAGGGGAAAGCCCCATGAAGCAGAGGGATCTTAATAAAAGAAGTCCCTTCCTTTTCCTCTGCAGTCTCCAGCGTTGGTCTTTGTGCTCGTAGGTATTGATGGATGAAGAGAAGGAAGGCCCGTCTCTTTTTCCACCCCAGGAGACGCGCACGTTCCTTCCTTCCCCTAAACTTTTAGGCCCAGTCATGTCTCCTCTCCCTCACTGCTGGATGGGACAAGTAGGATACAGCTGTAGCTGCACTGTGCCGGCACTAGCAGATGACGCTGGCACAGATCGATAGACGAGGTCCCAGGTGCTCAGCCAGGTATTGGGGGCCTTCCTCAGGCAAAGGGAGATGCGATGGATGTCCCAGTAACCCCGTGTCCTTTTGCAGCTGGGATGTGTGCCACCTCCCAATGCTCATCGCACACGGGGACGGGGCTGACGGGGGCTTGGGCATTTCAAATGACCTTGTAGGACTTGACAGCTTCTATGGGGCAGGTCAGACCTCCATGCTCCCTTCCCCTATGGGCTATTAACACCAAAAGTCCAGGGAAAAGCAGCTGGTCTGTCTTGGAAAAGGGACGTCAAGCTGTAGACCAGTCCGTGTCGTTCCTGGTGTCCAGCAATGGCTGAGGCCTGGCTGGGGAGATCCCGATGCCTGTGAGGAGCCACGGAGAGCTTTCACAATGGTGGTTTGGTCTGTGGTTTGTAGGGCATCCTACCGCCAAGCCGGACCTGCCGATAAAGCCGGAAGGAGAAGAGCAGATGGAGACTGCGGGCCTGCCATTGGAGACTGCAGAGAGAGAAGCGCCTTGCAGTAACTCTGCAGGTGAGGGAATTGCCTGACCTTTCCTGGGACAGAGCGTTGCAAATCGGTGTGCATGCATTGCAGCTGCTTCTGGGGTAGACCGCAGCTGCTTTTCTGGAACAGCAATGCAGCCTGGCAGCTCCCAGGAAGGGAGGCTATAAAACCACCCCGGCAGTTTTGACTGCGCCCATCAGGAAAGATGATTTCTGAGCTGACACCCAGCAAAATCCTCATTTGCTCTGACCTTATGAAATTCACCTCTGCATGGCATTGAATCCCTGGGATGAAGGGGTACCTAGACCCCACAGTCCTTTACACGGGGATGGTGTCATCTGTTGGGGTGTATGCGCTCCCTTGTTTAACAAGTCTCCTTGAGTGGTGTCAGCCATGCGCTTTCCTTCCTTCCAACAGCTCATCCATGTGGGTTCCCTCCTCTCTCCTCAGGGATACAACAGTTCAGAAATGGTCACCGCACAAGGGGTGTGCCTTGCTTTGTGCCCTGGCCTACACCTGCACCGCACCACCCTTCACATGGCATTGGAGTCAGTGCAATATGAGACAGCTCTCATGGGTCAGACTCATCACAGGTGTGAATCCAGGGATTTTGGGGGTTTATGCCAGGGGTCACTGGTCCCTCCTGTTTACTTCTCTCAGGGCCTGGACTACATATTGAATATCTTTTGACCGGTAGCTCAAATAAGGAAGCTAACAACAACCATCTTGGGCATTTTGGCAAAACACGGGGAGGTTTTGAGCCTTATAAAATAGGATGCTAGCATAGTCCAGCAGGCTTGGCTGTGATGTGGGGAGCAAAGAGACCTTTTGGCTTGGAAACCATCTTTGTGCTCAAACTTTAGTCAACTCTGCTTTAGTCAACCCTGCCAAGTGGCATGAAAAAACAAAAAAGGCCACTACAAAATATTTTGTGGGGGTCCAACGTGCTGCTCTGTTTCCTTCTGATCTTTTAGGGGTGGGAGGGGATTCTTCTGCTTTTTGACATTTTTTGGGGAAAAAAAAAGAACATTGAGGTTTGCTTTTTGTCTGTACAAGTGACCGTGCGCGGGAAGTTTGTTTTCAGCTCAAATCTGCTCGGTTCACTTTTTTCCCCCTCCACGATTTCCTTGGGATTTGGAAGCCAAATGAGACGTTTCCTGGCTTGGGTCCCATACTAAATTTCAGTCTGTCTAAACACGTCACCTGGCCCCTGTGGCGGGCCAGTAGGGGGCGCTCCTGCGTTGAGCCGCCCACCTCCCTGCGCCGACCACCTTCCAGGCTCCGAGTGCCTCCCTGGGGTGCCTCCCGTCCGGCCGACCCCTTCCCTGGAGCACACCCGCTAGCCTGGGGGTCCCGCTGCCACCATCCAAGGCTCTGGACTCACTTCTGGCTCTGCGCACCTTGGAAAACACAGGCCTGATCGTCCAATGGGTGCTAGACCCAGTACAAGCACTTGGGGCACTTCCCCAAGTCAGGGGCTTATTAGGAAGCCTCCCTTAGTCCACCGACCTAAGGGGCCTCCTTGGCATAATTTAGACCCACCCCTCAATAAGTCTCCCACACCGGTCACAAAGGAGAACTTTATTGATTACAGGGGTAGGGCGGAAACAGGGTAAAAGGTAGAGCAATATCAAGAAATCTTACAGGAATATCAAAGGAATCCCATGGAGCAAACCAGGGTGGCTGAGGTAGCCGTTTCAACACGCATCTGAGTTACTGAAGCTAAATATCTGATCGGATCTCTAGTAGGTTACTCACTCGCATCATCCAGAGGTGGTTGCTGTTTCCTCTGGAGGCAGGGCACTCTTGCAGCATGCGGTGATGAGGAGAGAGCCAGGTTCAGATTCACCTGGATGACCGCATGGATAATGGCTCCTCTTCTTCCTGGCCCAGGCCTTTTTATCACCTGCCTGACCTCAGCAGCCCGGTCCAATCGAAGCTGCCAATACTGGCTACAAACC